CCATAGGTGAAGCATTCACCTTGAGCTGAGACTTAGATTTCTGAGAAGATTCAGATTTCTTGGTCCCTGAAGAAGTAGAAGGTGCACAAGTTGAAGGAATAGATTTAAATCTATGTGACGTGTTAGCCTTCTTAGGAAGAGGTGCTGTGACAATGGATTTACCCTTTGTCTTTGCAACCTAAACTCAAGGGAGTTCCATCAAGATGACTCTCAGCGAAAGAAGACTGAGAGGAAGAAGTGTCCGGAATAGAGGAGACAAAGGTATCAAACTTGAACGTGAACCTGTCAGTGACACTATCTTCTTGATCATAGAAAAAACCTAGAACAGTCTTTATCTTGGCAGGGATCTGAGCGTTAATGATCTCAGAGGCTTTGACAGAGGCTTTCAACCATCCTTCAATGGTAGGCTTTTTAGCCCTGAGTTCAGCAATTGCTTGCTCATGCTCAGCGATATCCTGTTCACGTTCAATAGTGATGGTTTGGTTTACAAGGACCTGATCTTTAAGATCTTCTTCGATCTTAGTCATTTCTTTAATCTTGGAATCACAAATCTTCAAATGTTCTTGAAGATCAAGATTAAGCATTTCTGCTTTAGATTTGCCTTTCAGGGCATTATAAAGGTCCACCGTCAGTGCATCCAACGCTGATAGGCTAGAAGAGGAAGAAGAATATGGTTCATTCAGGAGACATACCTGAGTAGGAGAGGATGATGAGGGATCATGAGAAGTTGACGTCTTAGAAGCTTCTTTTTTGACATCCTTGGCCATCAAGCAAAGATTGGTCGCATCTTCCTCATTAGACGAATCAGCCTAGTCATGCTCTTCAATGACAAGACCTTTGGCCTTTTGCTGGGAACTCTTCATCTTCTTGTATTTCTCCTTTATTTTAGGTATTTTCATCATTAGATCTGAAGGAGGATGGGGTTTTAGAAGATGGTGTCCCAGTCTTCTTTGACGTGCACTCACCAGTAAAGTAACCTTTGCGGTGACAATTGTAGCAGATTGCTGAAGCCTTGTCAATATTATCTGTCTTTGGCTTTTCCTTGATGGTTAGTGAAGGAGATCTGTGGAAGTTGCTTTTTCTGGCGAATCTTCTAAAAGTTTTCTTSCTCCATATTTGCATGAAAATACAATAGATGAATAGTCATTCRACGAAAAATCATTTATTTGAATATTTTATTTCCTATTAGAATAAGCATATAAATACAATCACTAGGATTATTAACTAATAAGGAATTTAGTTAAAAGCGCCAGTGATTCAACAAAGTCTGCAAGTTCAGACTCTGATAGATCCTGAGACTTAGTAGAGTCTAACTCAGTGATAGTAACAGGATGAAGAATTAAAGAGGAAGAAGATGAGAGTTCAACTGAAGAATCTTCAGAGATCAAAGCTAACGGAGAGCTTTTCATTTCTCTGAAATCCTTGATTAGATTCCATTTCAACTATCGATACTGCTCATGATTGAGTAGTATCCCATAGGGTGCTAAGAGAGAAAGAGAGGACATGTTGTTGGACATCTTGAGACACGTGGCATATGTATCCCAAGATTCTGATAAACATTCTAGAAACTTCGTTAAAGTTTCAGAGTTGGAATATTCTCTACCAACTGTCCTTAAATCGATAAGAAGACAATTAAATCATCGGTGTACTTCAGACAACGTCTCAGTCTTTCCACAGAGAAAGATTTTGTATTGTCTAACTAAGTTAATCTTCCTCGATTCTTGAACCTAAGAGGTTTCATCATATTGAACACAGAGAGTGTCCCACATAGATTTCGAGGTTCTAAGCTTCATCACAGAGTGATAAACCTCGTTAGGAAGAGACATAGCTATTATAGACCTCGCACGAGTATCTATAGCTATCTTCTTCTTTTTTTAATCACTGCATTGATGAGGGAGCTTAGTAATCTGCCATTCAGGAATCGCGTCAATCGTAGCTATTTCAGGAACAACTGGAGAAATAGCATATGGAACATATGATCCATTTTCTATATAGTGTGGAATTTCAGGATCCACACTTCCAGAAAGAGGGACATCCGATTCTTCCAAAGACTAAAGTTGTCTCCAATAAACCGGGGAGGTTTGGCAAGGGAGCCATTGTCGTGAAATTTTGTGCTTGTATTTTGTAAGGCCATTTGAAAGCAGTAAGATTATCTAGAGTTTGAACTTCAGTGATAGTTTTAAGTTTTAAAACTATGTGACATTTCCTCTCTTCTATTTCTTTCTCTCACCTTCTACCTATAAATATGAGACCTTTCCTCTCAACTACTACCTATTCTAATCTTCGACTATTAACAAAAAATGTTCTATCTCATTTCTTAACTTTAGTAGATAAATGGCCACCAAGAACGTGAACTTCTCCAATGAAAATGTTTCCTTCAAGGCTAACAACCACGTCACCTAGTAGTATGTTCCTTCAAACAAAACCATCTACGATGTATGTGTCCTTCAAAGAGAAATAATTTGTTGTTTAATACTAAGAAGAAAGTAAGTTCTTTCTGGGTAAGAACTATTTAAAATACTAGAAAAGGGATTCTAACTTGCTTTGAAGATAAGCTTATTGTGTTCCTAGATGTGTGTGTTCTTTAACGTATGCATGTAAGAATTAGTGTTATAGTATCTCTTCATGGAGATAGAACACATCTATTTATACCTATTGCATTAAATGCACATTTAATGCAATACAGTAGGGTTTGAACACACGTCAAGCCTTTAAAGAAAGACTTGTTCTTTGCCACAGTGAATAGTACAAAATCCTATTCATGAGCAGGCATCCTTTCATGGAGTTGGTGGGTAGTAGGGTCAACTAATCGGATTTGTACCGTACTATACTCTAGAAAGGTTATGGGTTTGTCTTTTGTGTGTGGAAGGACAAGACAAAAGCAATCTTGCCCAACAAGCTTCATTTGATTGCTGAATGCTGGAATAACCCTGAAGGTCTCTTCAGCATTCGCTGAGACTTGGGCAGTCTTCACACATTTGTTGACCAGGTTGTAATTATTGAATGCCGCTTCAGATCACAAACGCGCTACTCTCTAAACTTCAGTTTCAGTCTTTGACTTTCGCTGAAGGTTCTTTGGTTTGAGTTTTATCTTCCTGAAGTATCGTTGTCGTTGATGGATTTACAATACATGTTCTCAGCGATCACTGAACTGACTCAGTGATGATATCTGGAACTGAAAGACAGAAACAATAATACTTCGTATAAAGTAAAAGGGATTATCATCAAATCAGTGAGAGATAGGATCAACAATCCCCCCCTATTTGATGATAACAAAGCAACATAAAGAAAGTTGCCATATCAAATAGCAGTAAAGAAAAGTTACATATAAAGTACATGTTCCTTTTAACTGTTTTGGGGTCTTTTTCAGTGAGTCAGTCTTTACTTAGTAAATTTTCTTAACTTACAAGTTTAAGAAAATATAAAAGAAGGGAAACTGAAACTGAAAGCATGTTCACTGATTTATAGATTGTCAGTGAATGTAAAAGTAACACTGGAACTTATAGACTTGTGTCCCTGTTACTCTTTTCAGAGATCTTTTTCAGTGATGCATAAGAAATACTTATATTAATTTCAAAAGGAAATATTAGAAGTCGTTCAGTACATGTCTTAGACTTACAAAACATAAGTTAAACACTGAAAGTAGACATAGAATACAAAAGGTTATACAGTGAATGGACAAATTACAAAGGCAAGTAACTATCTAAGTTGTTCAGATTAATGTAGCCAGGTACATTTTCTCCAAGCTCCTTTCGACGTAGAAACTCCCTTCTGATATTGCAGTCCATCATTTCACCGTTAAAGTCATCATCTAGCCATAACTTGAAGTATCCGATATGTTCCATCGGGCATAGATGTAACTCAGACATTCTTTGGAATCTAATTTCGCTATCATAATCAAAGAAAATAAGTCCTAACTCAGGCTTCAAATGTACAGTGTTGGTTATGTAAGGAACCTTCGCTAGTGGTGAGAGATTCAACATTGATATGTCTGGCTTCTTTGAATCCTTCAGGACTTCATCTAAAGAGAAATTTGTTTCATGTTCATTCCTTATGGATGGTTCGTCATTAGGTCTTGAAGGTCTTTTTCTTCTTCCACCTTTCTTCAGAGTTAGCTTTTCAGGGACTGTGACATACCTGGACATCTTCTTGATCAGCTCCCTTATGATGTCTTCGATAATCAGCTTATGTCGAGACTTTGAGCACTGAATGGCTTGGCGAATCTTCAGCCATTCGCAGTAGCCATACTCGCCTAGGTAGGAAGGGTACTCAGTGACCGCCTCAAGATTATCCCTGGTGATGAGCATGGATATAAGCATCCCACCGTCTTTTATCCATTCGTTGATGCTAACGTTTGAAATCAGATGAGGGCTGATTCTCTTATTAAAGCTCTCTTCGCTCCAGTGCTTGTCACGTTCAGCCAACTTTAGGTTCTTTTCGTGTTCAGCCTCAACATAGAGAGAAGCTTAGCTTGGACTTGGAAAGTGTTCACCATCTTTTTGGATTTTTTTCGGAAGAACTTTGGCGGCTAGAGACTTGACCAACTTCAAGCTATCCTCAGTCTGTTTTCTCTGAAGTTTAAGTTCTTCCTCGGCCTTGAGAGCCTCGAGTCTTTCAGCTTCGGTCAGGAAGTTAAACTCACCATAACAAGAGGTACGAAGAGGAATTTTTACTCTAGTTTGGTCGAGTGACTCCCTGAGCTGAGTCATCTGCTGGTCGGTGGGAGCGTTGGGGGTTGGGTTCTCAGGGACCCATTCCTCCAGTCGATCATAGGTAGTTAAGGGGATGGAGAGTTGGAAAGTTGATGTTATAGTGATTTGACTAGAGGACTCGTCATATAAGGGTTCAAGGGGTTTGAATGGTACCTTGAGGTTCCCTTCTTCAGCAACACCTTTGCCTTTCGTGCTCTGGTGTGTTTTTTAAGTGGCCTCGCTCTCCCATTCCTCCCCCTAGGATGTGGAATCCCTGAGGGAGACACCTTTCATGGAAGCAGCAGGTCGCTAGTACTGAATCGTGAAGTCGTCTTCATCATCGTCTTCATCATCATCATCCAGGTCACTGTGAGAGTCAGGAAAGCCAGGAGAGTTAGCATCTTCACCGTCATTTTCTTCATCATCTTCTTCCACATCACCAGCATCGGCTGTAGATGAGAAGGGAAGGTCATCGTCGTTAGCTTCAGCGTCAGCTTGGACGGCATCAATATCCTCAACTATAGGAGCTTCGTAGGATGTTAGGATTTCATTAACAACCTCAGCTTCAGCTTCAACTCTAGGAACTTCAGCTTCATTGGTTGTTGGAGCAACAGGTTCAGAGGTGGCTGCAGCATTTGAGGGTCCAGCGTTAGACCTTATCTCCCCCTCTCTGGCAATAGCTCTTGAGCAATAGCCAGAGAGTTGGTCGACGTTCTGGATTTAGATCTCCATCATTTCCTCTAGCTGCGTCAGAGCACTGGCTAGGCTGATTATTGCTTCACGCGCTTTGTTAAGCTGGATGCGGTCATCAGCAGTAAAAGAAGGTTGAGGCGTTCACACTGGTCGATGGAGAGCAGCCAAAACCTGCTGCATCAACTCCGCTTGTTGGACAAGTTGGGAGTTTGCTTCATCGGCCTTGCTCGTTAGAACATCAATGGCCTCGGCATTGGCTTGAACTGCCACTTGTAGTGTTGATAGCTAGCCCTTGGCCTCTTGAACTTCAGCCCTAACGGCTGAGAGGTCAGCAGCGACTTCGTCCCTACGAGACATGTCTTTATGGAGCTCGTCCATCTTTATTAAGACAGTCTCAACTGCGGGGAGGAGTAGCTTCACATCTCCAGCCATGTCATATTCTTTTTCCATGGTTGGTTCCTCATAAGGGCCTGAAAAAGAATGAGAGTGAGGATTAAGAAGCTCAGGGTTAGAAGAATTGAACAGGTAGGAAGATGGAGTACCTGAGGTGTCTTCAGTGTTATTTGACGGATTAACATTGGTGGGCTCCATGGTGCATTCATGAGGATAAGCACCAGTTTGCTGAGAAGCCTCGAGAGGAGCTACCTTAGGTCCAGTGGTGCGTATCTCATCATCAGGGAGGACAGGCGTTGATGACTCATAGACATGAGTAGATACGAAGGAAGGAGGGGAGGAGAAGATGGCTGAGACTATTGGTAGTGGGTGATCAGCTATGGCAACGCTAATATTCTCTCTTTCAGTGACTTAGGTCACTAAGGCGGTTGGGTGAGGAGCCACTAGTATGATAGTGATTTCAGATATCACAGAAGAGCTGGGAAGGCTGACTGAAATTGCCTCGGGGTTAAGGCTTGTTTCAATAGCTGAGATCTTCTGAGAGGTCACAGCCAGAGACATGGTTGTCCCCTTTTTGKMGTTCATGGTYCTCGAAGGAGAACCAAGAGTTGGTTGWGATGGGCATTTGGTAAAGAGGGTTGTGGTGGTTGGGTTAGACTTGGGGGGGTTGTCCCTTGTCCTGACCACCTTGGAGGGAGAAGAAGAAGGAGAATTGAAGAATATTGCATCACTAAACAAAGTGCAACATCTCCATCCCTTAGCTTGTGATCCAGAATCCTGGATCCAAACTTGCACATAGGAAGGTTATCTTCCTTGGAGTATTTTTTGCCAAAGATCTTGGCCAAAACCTGTGTGTCCCACAATACGATCAATCTGCAATTATCTTCATGAATCAATGGCAAACTTCATAATATCATCAAGAACACTTGAGAGGAAAAGTCAAACAGTCAAAGTCTTTATAAATCTCTCAATATACGTAAGTATTACAAATGAGCTCCCTTCTTMRATTACACTAGAAGACAAAGTATTTATAGGGTCAAACATTAAACCCTCTAGTCAAAGTCAACAACTACRTACGAAGTCAAACATGCTAATATAACAATTATAAACTTTCAAGACGAATACAATTTATCACTAAAATTCAATCCTAACATTCTCCCCCTTTGTATTCAGGCTTCAAAGAATTTGCACGCTTTGAATCTCTTTTGAACTTTGTCGCTTTAAGCTCTTTATGASTTCTTGAAATCTTCAAAAACAATCWTCTAACATTCYCCACTTTGTAATCTTCAGATAATCTTTTGTTGTTGAGAAAATCTTCTCAACAACATTGATCTTCTCTTTTCATAATGAAGAACAACAACAGCAACACTCTTCAGAAATGATCTTCTAGATATGATCTTCAAAGAATTCCTTCAGATAACCATTCAATAACATTCTCCTCAATAAAGAATTTCTTCAAATAAACATTCACAAACATTCTCTCCAAAATTAATATTCTCCTTACTGGAAATCTCTATCAGTAAACTCAGGTAAAAATGATCTTCACATTCAATTTCTCTCAAACATTGTAGCACAGGAATAGTCTTCAGTCACACTCCTTATGCCGATTTTCGATCTTTATATCATACTCCCCTTTGATCTATATATCATACCTCCCTTTTTATCATTCAGAATCGATTATTTCATTTATTATATCATACTCCCCCTTATGATCAAATGAGAATCATTAGCATCATACATTAGAATGAATAAAATTTTCAGCGAATGCCGTTAATTCATAAAATTGTAAGCAGATCTTTTCAAATCCACTTGTATAATCTTTTCAGATTAAGAGGATGTGAAAGTAGCAACCAATTTCAACTTATGAAATTGTTTTCACTCTTATAAAAAGATTGACCTGTGAATATAACTGATATATTTAGTACAACGAATGTACTACATATATATGAGACTTTTTGAGGTTCATCTCACCAGGACTTCCATTCAATCATCAACATCTTATAAAAAGTATATCTACGAATGTTACGGAAAAATAACATATAAATTGCAAAATATGTGTAGTGTAGAAAGATAAAGCAACATATGCTTCTGTTTAGGCTCAAAAAGATAAATCATGTGGACTACACAAATTTATCAGACTTAATTTGCGATCAAAAAGACTTCAAGGGGGGGGGGACATATATCCTTCTGTTTCAGTGTCAAATTTATTCGAATAAGAAATTGATAGATTGTGAGCTGCATGCCCCAAGTGTTATTGAAACAATTATCTGTTAAGAGATAAATGAGTAGCTGGTGGGGTTGTGACAAGAATTGGCCTGAGCTTTGTCTATTTCAATATAGTCTCCAAGGAATTGAGAACTAGTAGATTTCGTGGTATGCTCGGAATTTAGAGGTTTAGAACAAGATTCTTGTAATCTTTTAATCCTAACACTACTCTCATCAATTCTTTTGGATCAAAACAACTACCCCTCTTTTTTTTTTTTAAGCTCTACACACAAACACTTTTTGAGTTTAAGCTCATCCAGATATGGTTGTCCTCATTGGTAGGTTTGTCGGTTCTGACATTCCATTGAGGTATTTCTGTGAAGCATTCAGTCCCTCATAAAATAACAGTATGCTCAAATGATCACAAACAGTTGATCAAAATTATTATTGCTATGAARCACAATRTTCAGATAAAAKTGATYAAGAAAAAATATAGCGTTTAAGCACAATCAACAACGTATGTGAGAGAAATGAATGAAGATCTGTAAGTACAAGTTTACAGATTATGATTATTCAAAGAGTAATGAATTGTGTATCAATCAAAGTAAAAAAAAATAGAAAACAACTTTGATTACAAATGAGTGTGTTATCACCAAAAAATATTATCATATAAGAGACGTGATAATAACAATTTGAAGAATAGCTGAAACAGGAATTGGAATTATGTACGATGAGAAATTACACAAGTAAAATCTCAAAAAATATCTACTCAGAATATGTACTCGTTTTCAAAAATCAACTCAATTTCCGAAAACATTTATTAAAAAATTTGTAGAGACTCCCCTAGAAAATAGATTTAAGTAATATATCATTTCAGCTCAAAATAAAAAAAAATGAAACCATTTTGGCTCAGGTCTTGAACTGAATTGTTCAGAAGCCATAATCATTTAAGCACGGGTTCTAAACTGAGTGTTTAGAAACCTCATCTGGATAGTATACAAACTCCCCCTGTATTTGTGCATCATAGGCATGATTTTCTTATCAGCACATTAATGACACACCTGCAAAATCAAATCAAACAGATTTTGGTACCCAGACGAACATGGGTCCTTCTTTGTTAGTATTAGGTTGAGGAATATTATAACTGCCAAACCATCTATTTCTATTAGATATTTTCTTTTTAGCACTTCTAACAGGTTGATCATATATACAATAAGATCCATACCAATTGTTATCATACCTGTATTAATTATTCCAGCTCTTCTAATATATGTTGTCTCCATACCATTTGTTGTACTTTTTCCTATTGACAAAGTCAGTGGTTTTGTATGTGGAGCATATGATTCTTCTCTTGCTAAGATTGATTAAATCATTAGTGGATCCCACAAAACAAGGAAGAACATGGTTAGTAACAACAGAGTTACGAGACGAAAAAGAATCAACATTATTAGCCCAAACATTTTTAAACTTTAGAATGATAATTGGGTGATCCAATGACATACCCTTGATAGTATTGATTTGAAGAACCAGAATAGTTCTTAGAAACAGTTGATTTAGAACTGCTTGAATAATTTTTAGATTTAGAACAGTCATAAAAGTTGGTTTTACAATGTGATGGAAAACCAGTTGAGTTTTGAGCACATGAAAAATCTTTTACTTTCCTTAATAACTGGTCTCTTTCATCAGCAACTAAATCGTACTTCTTGTTAAGCTTAGTTCTCATACACAAATCAATTTCAAGTTCTGTCTTAAGATCAGACAATTTCTTTGAAGCATCCAGAAGTTTACCTTCTAACACCTTCTTCAACTTCTCAAACATTTTCTTTTCTTTATCAAACTCCTATCTCTCTTCATCTGAGCTGCTTTTGTCATTCTCAGAAGCAATGTCAAGCCATTTCTTCTTTTCTGCAAACTCTTTGGCAATGGATACATATTTCTTAGCTATGTTTCTCTTTTCAAGAGCGAATAGCTTCTTTTCTTCATCCAAAGCTTTCTGCTTTTGAGCAATGCTTTCAGACAATTCAAGATTCTTGCTCAGACATTCTTCTTTCATTTCTTTCTTCTCTTTATCAATCTGACTCGTTCCAAGATGATAAGTTGTTCAAAATCAAAGATTTGATTTAACAGCATTTAAACATTCAGTTCTAACAAGTTAATCTTGTTCTCAAAAGATATACGTTCAGAATCAAATCGTTTCTCCACTTCAATCATTCTTTTCTTCTCTTTCTCAAAAACTTTCTTTTCAGCATTTAAACTCTTTTCAGCCTCTAAAACCTTTACCTTCTATAGTTCCAGTAATTTCCTTACCTCAATCAAATTACTCTCACATTCATGAAATTTCTCTGTGAAATCATTGGTCTCTGTATGTTTCTTTTCAGAAGAGTTTCTCTCAGCATTCAATTCAAGTTGAACTTCTTGGAGTTTATTAAACAGATCTTTATTTGATTTACTCCAAGTTTTTAATTCTTCATGTGTATCTTTTCTGACAGAATCCAGTGATTTCTCAAGCTTTTGAATCTTATGTAAAAATTCTTCTTCAATATTTTCTCTCATTACTTTATTCTCTCTTTGCAGATCTTTAATGAATTCCTTATCCGCATGATTTTCATCGAACATGTTTATGTTGATAATCCTTTGCACTCTTTTCCAACTCAGAAATCTTAAGTTTCAGTTCCTTATTCTCCTTCTCGAAGAAAGCTGCCATTATGCTTGATCGAAGAATCTTATGCAGTATATGAAATCAGTCAAAAGAAATCTCAATCCAAAAATATCCTTCAAATATGAGAAGTTTAGTGAAAAACAGTCAAAAACTGTTAAAACTGATCAAAACAGTTTACACAACGCAAAACAGTTAAACTTTTCAAAAATCAAAAATCTCGATGAAAATCAGGTAAAATTGATGAAATCCAGATATGACTGATAAAAATGAATTAAAATATGAAGTCTGGATAAAATGTGTTGAAAAAATTCAAGTTTTGTCAAAAATGACTCAA